GTGGCACGGAACAAGACAGTACTCACCGGAAAATGGGTCTTCCGTGTGAAGACAAAGGCCGATGGCACCATCGACAAATTCAAAGCACGCTGGGTCGTTCGTGGCTTCGACCAAGAGCACGGCCGCGACTTCACCGAAACATTCGCTCCAGTCAGCCAACACACCTCGCTACGCATCCTTCTCGCGATCGCCGCCATGAAGAAGAAGAAGCTAAGGCAAATCGACGTCGCTAATGCATTCCTCTACGCACCCGTCGACGCCGAGATCTTCGTCGAGCTACCACACGGCTCCAGCACGGACTCGAAACACGTCTGTCAACTACTCAAGTCACTCTACGGCATCAAGCAAGCCCCACGACTATCGCAACAATACCTACGCGCTCGCCTCATTCGCATCGGCTTCAAGCAACTACCGCACGACCAGGGCATGTACCGGCTCTCGAAGGGTACCGACTACGTCCTGCTAATCGTCTACGTAGACGACCTACTCTACATTGGCTCAACCGAAGGTATTACAACCTGGTTCGAAGGGGAGTTACAACAAGACCTCACACTCACAGTCTCACCTACCGTCACTGTCAGAATATTATCTTATTGTTCTAGCCTGTAGTGGGGTGCTCTATAGCGAGTACAACCCTTCTAGGGTTTCCTATTTGTATCCTCATTCTTGCTAGTTCAACCCTCTTTCTTTCTTCAAACTTTGTCATGCTATCAGAGCAGGTCGATCCCCTTGGATCGATCCTGTGGGTAGGTTACCACCTCGCTTCCGCTGCTACTTTTTCCTCCCGCCGTGCGCCCCGAGGCGCGCGGCGGTTTTCTGCCCGCCGTGCGCCCCGAGGCGCGCGGCGGTTTTCTGCCCGCCGTGCGCCCCGAGGCGCGCGGCGGTTCTTTGCCCGCTGTGCGCCCCGAGGCGCGCGGCGGGCTTCTACCCCGCTGTCGCGGCCCCGCCCTACGTTGCGGCCCCGCCCCTACGTCGCGGTCCCGCCCCGACCAACGCGGCCCCGCCCTACGTCGCGGCCCCGCCCTGAGTCGCGGCCCCGACCTGTCGCGGCCCCGACCGTCGCGGCCCCGCCCTCGTCGCGGACCCGCCCTGCGTCGCGGCCCCGACCGTCGCGGCCCCGCCCCTGCGTCGCGGCCCCGCCCCGACCGTCGCGGCCCCGCCACGGACCCTACGCGGCCCCGCCCTACCTTCGCGGCCCCGACCTGTCGCGGCCCCGCCCTACGTCGCGGTCCCGCCCCGACCGTCGCGGCCCCGCCCCGCTCGTCGCGGCCCCGCCCCTTGTCGCGGCCCCGCCCTCCCCTCAGGTCCGTGGTGGGCCCCCCCCCCCCCCCCCCCCCTTTCTCCCCTTCCCCCATTTCCCGTCGCCCGTCGCGGCTCCTTCGGGGGCCGCTAGCTGTGGGGTGGCGGGTATGGGGGTGGCCGGTGTGCCTTCCTCCCTTTCTCCTCCTCCTCCTTCGTCTCCCACTGCTGCAGCTGTCGCTGAGGGGGGTGGTTGTGTGGGAGACTGGGTTTAGGGTTTAAGGGGGGGTGCGTGGGAGTGGAGCTAGCGGTGTAGCAGTGGGTGTGTATGAGGGGGGTGGGACTGTGTGCGGGAGGTTGAGCGGAGGTTGCCAGTTTGTCGTCCGCAGCACCTGTAGTCCGGGGCGCTGTCCCGGTAGCCCAGTGAGCTTGTCGCTGAGCCGGTCGCCTGTGGGTCCGTTGCCCGTCTGCCGCTATTTGAGCCGCGGGGCCTGTTACTCCCGTAGTCCGGGGCGCTGTCCCGGTAGCCACTGTGCTCGCCACTCCTGTTGCCCGTGTGTCTGCAGCTTCAGCCGCCGCCTTCTATCTCCTCTCCTCTCACTCTCCCTCCTCCTCCTCACTTGCCCGTTGTGACCACTGCTAGCTTTGCTCATAATTATGAACTCTAAACTATTGCTTCTTAAACTTGTGCTCAGAATGTGTGGTGACATTGTGATCCACCCTGAGCTTGTTTTTGCTTTGCCTGCTCTGCTGATTACACCCCACTTTGGCTATGGGGGTGTGTCAGAACTTATTGTTCTAGCCTGTAGTGGGGTGCTCTATAGCGAGTACAACCCTTCTAGGGTTTGCTATTTGTATCCTCATTCTTGCTAGTTCAACCCTCTTTCTTTCTTCAAACTTTGTCAGTCACACAGTACCTCGGCCTCAACATCCGAGAAGAAGAAGACGCTATCTACCTCAGCGCCGCGAAATACGCCGACACCATCGCCAAGCGTTTCGCACTCACACCAACAGCTATCTCCACACCGTACCGCTACACGACAGTAAACAACAAGGAAGGCTCCGCTCTACTCAAGCCCGCCGCCATCCGCGACTACCAGAGAAAGCTGGGCTGCCTTCTCTTCGCAGCTGTCACCTGCCGCCCAGATCTATCCTACTCTGCAAGCCAGCTCGCCACCTACCTCAAGAGGCCTGAAGCGGAACATCTGGCGGAGCTCGACCGCGCTCTTCACTACCTTATCAGTACCCCGACGGTCGGACTGACTTATTATAAGAACGCAACTACAACGCCTAAGCTAATCGGCTACGTCAACGCAGACCACGCAGGCGACTCCGACAACAGGCGATCGCGCACCGGCTACATCTACCGTCTCGAGCCTATCGGGCCTATCTCCTGGCAATCGAGCAAGCAAGAACTAATTGCTCTCTCGTCAGCTGAAGCAGAATATATTGCACTCTGCTCAGCCACCAAGGAAGGACTCTATCTTCGCGAGCTACTGGAAGAAGCGAAGTTAGCCGAGTTACACAACTTCACCCTGTTCTTCGACAACCAGTCGGCAATTCGCATCGCCAACAAGAACGGCTTCGCGAACAGGACGACACACATCGCCCTACGATATTTCTTCGTGAAGGACGAGATCGAGAAAGGAAGGCTTGAGCTGTCTGTTAGTAGAGCTACACTGTGAGATCCCCGATCGATCCTAGGGGGGGTTACAGGCGCGTTTGCCTGGGGGGTTATGGGCGCACTGACCCGCTATTGAAACAAGCCCTTTTATCCCAATGGTCTAGTGGTTGGGATTCTGACATGGTATCAGAGCGGTCTCGGGTTCGAATCCCTGTGTATGCACATGTTGGCCGTTGCCACTGTGCTCAGTCCTGGGCCTCCCAGTGTGGGGGGGTGTTAGTAGAGCTACACTGTGAGATCCCCGATCGATCCTAGGGGGGGTTACAGGCGCGTTTGCCTGGGGGGTTATGGGCGCACTGACCCGCTACTGAAACAAGCCCTTTTATCCCAATGGTCTAGTGGTTGGGATTCTGACACTGTCATACTGCCCCACGTCCGAGATGGCAACTGTACCTGACCAAGAAGCTCGGAAAACAGAAGTTCGAATATTGCATGCTGCTGACTGGACAGAGCCACGTCAGCGACACTCCAGAAGCGAAGGGGAGTGTTGGAAACAATAGTTCCTAAGCGCCTCTGTCGTGTCGAAACACTAAGGCACAAGCGAAGCAGAGCATATCGAGGCACCAGCAAGTCAACCCTCGGAGGTTGAAGTAACCGCTGGAGGTTACGCGAAAGTCAAATGTCAGCGACCTTTGACCTGACAAATGCAGCGCGACAGCAAGGACACACAACTGACTCTTTACAGAGTAGTTGCCCGAGTCGTCACTGTATCGAACTGCAACAGCAACAGTCAAGTAGTTATAACTGTGTCTCTTCATATTCTCTGTATTCATATATAATCTTGTATCTCTTTGCTTTAATCAATTCACTTTGCCCTCACATACTAGCGCAAGGTGGTTCACAAACTCTTTATTAAGACGCTTCCGCTACTACATCAACTCTACCCAGAATTCACCTGTGCAAAGATCCTAAGGGCTTTTTCAGCCCAACAAATTTACCCTGATGTGTCAGGTTTTAAGATTAAGGAACACTGTCGCCTCAGGGTTGCCGTTCCGCTTATCGAGGTTTACCCTGAAGCGCGTACCAGCGAACCCCCCCCCCCCCCCCCCCCCCACGCGTCCCGTAACCACCCGACCCCGAAACCTGGATTTTCCCTTTGCCAACTGTCGAAAATGTAGATTTCGGCAGGACTTTACGTGTGCTGGAACGAGGTGGGCCACCATTGGCCAGAAATACAGTTTCACCGGAGCCAGAGGAGGACAGTGACCACGAGCAACATCGGTGTGGCATGTCTGAAGATGATGATTAGGCTTGTTATTGTGTGCTCTGTTAATAACAACTGAAACAGGGTTTTGCGAATTGGTACACTGATGACTCAGGGTAGTCGTTTTAATACATGCAAAAACCCTGACGCATCAGGTTTTCCACAACGGGCAACCCTGCAAATCAGGTTTTTGAACAGGTGCTAGACTGATCGTAAGGGTTGGTCAAAACCAAAAATGAGCCCTGTTCTGGGCGCGCCGAGTGCTGAGAATGATTATATTCGCTTTTCGACAGCATGCGAGGGTGTACGTCAAAGCTCGCTTGATGGCGTGGCGAAAGAAGAAGAAATACGCGCAACGTGGAAGATTTCAGAAGGCCTTACTAGCGGAAGATCGTTTGCTGAGGAGGATTCAAACCAACGATGATAAAATAATCGGCATGGACCAGAGCTTTCAGACCCATATGGACCAATCCAAGGACGGTCTTCAACCCACAGTAGACTCTTGCTGGGGCAGCTAGTTTTGCTCACTCAAGCTCGGTCATGACCGCTATTGTTAGTGTGCATTTGTGTTCGCAGTGTATACTTTCAATAACACTATATATATATTTTTTAAATCTCGGCTTCCTGTTTCGCACCCCCAGATACCGCGCCCTAAAACCGAACCAGCCAGAAACCAGCTCCTCAAGTTATGTGCGAGCGCCATTTGAACGTCCAATTTCTCTCTTCTTTCTCGTTTCTCCCCGTGTTGAAAAGCGCCCCGGCACGCTGCATGTGAAAACCTAGGGCTCGTGTGAGAACACCGATAGTCCATCTGCAGCATCACAGCACTCACACCGCGTCCCCCCTCGCCCCTCTGCCTCGTCCGTCGCGGCAATGGTGAAGGACGTTAGAGCGCCGGGCTTCCGCGAGAAATGGCGGCAGGACGTGCCGGTGCTATACGATTGGTTCTTCAACCACCACCTCATGTGGCCCTCGCTCTCCTGCCGGTGCGCCCCCTGCTTTGTGTCTCGCGTGCGCGTTGCTCCGCTGCGCCCCCTGCTTTGTGTCTCGCGTGCGCGTCGCTCCGCTGCGCCTCCCTCCCCTCGCTCTGCTCTCCCTTCCGCCTCCCCGCCGCGAGTTTATTTTGCGTTAGCGCGGCGTCCGGCGCCGGTTTCGATCTGCTGTGAATGACGCCGCGTGGTTTCCGTCATACTGCTCCCTCCACGCACTGCGCTCCACGCTCCGCGCGCACGGCAGGCGCGCCCCTATTTCCCTGATTGCCATGCGCCTGCCCTTCTTGATGTCCCCCGCGCGCTTCCTCGCTCTCGTCGCTCCGCCCGCCATTACCCCTTTCCGCGCGCCAATCGTATCCCCCCTCGCCTCTTCGTACAGCCTCGCGCACCCCCGCCTCTCCTCCGGCCTTCCGACCCTCGCTGCGCTTGCACCCCTACGCGCTCTCGCGCCGCCCGCTGAACTGTTGATGCCCCTCCCCGTGCCCCTTCCTGCGCCCCTTCCCGCGCCCCTTCGCGCCTTCTCCACCCCCCCCCCCCCCCCCCCCCCCCCGCATCCCCCTCCCCCTCACCCCCTCCCGACCGCGCGCGGGTGCAGGTGGGGCCCGGTGCGCGCGGAGCACGGCGCGTACAGCGAGCAGTACGTGTACATCAGCGAGCAGACCGACGGCACCGCGCCCAACACGCTTCTCCTCGCCAACGTCGCCGTGAGCGGGGAAGACGGGGGGAGGGCTTCTGGGAGGGAGGGGTAGAGCGGAGGAGGGGGTTGGGTTGGTTGAGTGGCAGCATGGGGAGGTCAGGGTTAGTGGGGGCAGAGGTGACGGTGCATGGGAAGGGGTGTTGCGGTGCAGGAGCGTGGTAGGGTTTGAGGGACGCGGACGGGGAAGGGGTGTGGTGTGGTGAATGGCAGTGGGGTAATGGATGAAGCAGTGGCATGAGGCACAGCACCTGCGTTCGTCCTGCTCGTGCCGTGCTGCACGGTGGCGCAAGGAAGGACGGTGGTGACAGGCAAGGCAGTGCGCGTGCTGTGGGAGAGAGGAGCGCGTGACCTTGCCTCTGCCTCTCCTCGCCCTGCTCGCCAGCTTCCACGCTCTGCCAGGAGTGCACACACGCTAGCCCTTTCCTTGCCACCCCTCCCACCTCTTCCGCCCCTTCCCCCTTCCCCCTCTCCCCTCACTCCCCATTCCTCCATCCCTCCCCCACTCTCCCCCACTTCTCCCCCCTCGCCCCTCGCCTCTCGGCCCTTCCCCCTCCCCCCTCGCGCTCCCCCATCCCCCAGGTGGCGGACAACGATGCAGTGGCACCCAGCCTGCTAGCGGACTTCGAGGAGGACGACCCATCGGCACTGGTGGGAGTGCTCAAGGCAGTGCAGCACCCGGGCGAGGTCAACCGCATCCGCGAGTTGCCACAGTTCCCGCAGATCCTCGCCACGCACACGGACGCACGGGACGTGTTCATCTGGAACATGGAGTCGCAGGACGACCGCAGGAATGACGCCAAGGGGGACGGCACTGCCTCCGACAAGCCGTCTGTGCCCGACCTGGTGGGGCGCCTCTGCTGTGCCGAGTGTCTCGTTGCTCGTTGCTCCGTCGCTGCTCCTTTAGGCTGCTTGTTTCGCCTTCGTCTCATACCCAGGTCACACGTGTTCTTTCTTCCTCTCTCCCTCTCCCCCTCTCTCTCACTGCTCCTGTGCTGCTGCCCACACCACACTCCTCAACAAGTGCCACCGCCACTTCCCCTCTAACCCACTACATTCTCCTGTTGTCCCCGCCCGCCTACTCGCTGCCACCCCCGTCCCCCTCTTCCCCCCCCAGGTGCTGCGGGGGCACACGGACGTGGCGCAGTTTGCGCTGGCGACAGCGGCGAGCGACCCGTTTGTGCTGAGCGGGGGCACGGACCGGCACGTGGTGCTGTGGGGCCTGCAGGACCACGTCTCCAAGGCCAGCACCGTGAGCACTGGGGGGGAGAGGGAGGGCAAGGGTGGGTGAAGGGGAAGGGGAGGGGGACGGGGTGGGAGGAGAACGAAGGGAAGGGGAGCTGGGAGAGGAGGGGAAGGGGGGTGGGGAAAAGGTTAAGGAGATGCAGGGTTTTGCGTGGTGAAGGGAGGGGCTTGTGTTGCTGCTGGACTAACACGCCACCTCCGCCTGCTCCCGCCACACTCTCGCCCATTCTTTCCCCTGCCCGCCGTCCCTTCCCCCTTCCCCCTTCCCCCCTTCCCTCCTCCTCCCCGCTCTCCCCGCCCTTTCCATGCCACGCCTGGGGGCCGCGGGGAAGCAGGACGATTCGTCGGAGCTGGCAGCGCCGGTGCTGCACTGCAGGGAGACGTTCACAGGGCACCGGGCGACGGTGGAGGACGTGCAGTTCAGCCCCAGCGACGCACGGCTGTTCTGCTCCGTGGGCGACGACTACTGCCTGCTGCTCTGGGACACCCGCCACGGCACCACGCCCGTCAACAAGGCATGCGCATGCGCCTGGGGAAGGGCAGGGCGTGCTGGGTTGCTGGCTGTGCGGTTGGGGGGGAGGGGGGGAGTGAAGGGGGGGGAGGGGCGAGCAGGAAGGAGAGTGATGGCATGGTGGTGCTGCGTTGTGGATATGTGCAAAGGCTGGCCCGGGACTGGCGTGCCTTTAACTGGATTTGCGAAAACAGAGGCTTGGTCCCCTGAAACCCAGATTGGCCTGATTTGGTTTTGGCCATGCTTATCTCTACTGTGTGTCTCTGTGGGGTGCTTCCCTGCACTCCTTGCCTCCAGGATCCCTCCCCTCCCTCTCTTCACCACTGCCTAAATCCCCTCCCCCTCCCTCTCGCTCTCCAGAACCCGCCCTCTTCCCATCAGCGTCTCTCTCCCATCTCTCCCACCCCTCTCCCCGCCTGCCCAGGTGGAGCGAGCACACAACGCGGATCTGCACTGTGTGGACTGGTCGCGGCTGGACGACAGCTACATCCTGACGGGGTCTGCCGACCACTCGGTGCGCCTGTTTGACCGCCGCAAGCTGCCCACGGCAGGCCACTGCACGCCCGTGCACACCTTCAAGCACCACCTCGACGCCGTCACCTGCGTGCAGGTGCGCTCGCTGCCATGCCCGCTTGCCGGGCCCCTGTGTGCTGCGTACTTGGTGTGTGTGTGTGTGTGTGTGTGTGTGTGTGTGTGTGTGTGTGTGTGTGTGTGTGTGTGTGTGTGTGTGTGTGTGTGTGTGTGTGTGTGTGTGCGTGCTTGATGCACGCCCGTGCATATCTTTAAGCACCACCTGGACGCTGTCACCTGCGTGCAGGTGTGCGCCCTGCCATGGACAGTTGCAGTGCATGCTGCATGCCGTGTGCTGTGTGCTGCGCGTGCGTATGCCTGGTGCATGTGTCGGGCGATGGGGTGGCGAGTGCCATGATCACTGGAGTTGGATATTCGAATGAGTGAAGGGTGGGGAGGGAGCAGGCAAGGCGGGTGGGGAAGGTTGGGAACACGGAACGGAAGTGAGGGTGTAACACCAACTGCTCTTTAACAGTCTAATTGCCCAAACCCATTCCGCTCACCTGTCTCTTTCCCCTCCCTCTTGTATTTCCTCCCCTCGTCCTCTCTCTTTCCCCTCTCCCTTCCATTTCCCACCATCTCTCCCCCACTCTTTTCCATTTCCTCCTGTATCTCCTCTTCCCCTCCCTCTCCCTCTCCATCTCCCTCTCTCCCTCCCTCTCTCGCTCCCTCTCCCTCTCCTCTCCCCTCCCGCTCGCTGCACGGCAGTGGCACCCATCAGCTCGGGGGGTGTTTGGCAGTGCGGGGGACGATGGGCTCATCCAGGTCACAGACGCATCGCACATCATGGGGGCACCAGGCGACAAGCCTGGTGGAGGGGCAGCGCAGGGCCGCCAGATGAACATGTTCCAACACCTGGGGCACCGGTGAGTGGCAGCACACACTGCTGTGCGTGCACACGCATGGGCTGCAAGGGTGGAGCATAGCGGCATATAAGGTGGTTGGAGGGCGGGTGAGAGCTGGATGCTGGATGCGGGAGGAGGGTGGGTCGTGATGGTGTGTGTGTTTTCGTGCAAATGTGTTAGAGAGGAGGTATGGGAGGGTTTGGGCTGGTAGTCCTCTCAATCTTCCTTGCGTTATCTGCCGGCCCTCTCTCCCTCTATTGCATATGGTGAGCAGGGAGAAGGTGTGTGAGTTCCACTGGAACCCCCATCGGCCGTGGACGGTGGTCAGCACATCCATTGACTCGGGCCGGATAGGAGGAGGCACCCTGCAGGTGGGCGTGGTGTGGTGTATACAGGGGCGAGATGCTTGCACATGGTGCAGGCAGGGAGCTGGGCTCACTGCACTGCAGTGCACTTGTGACAAGTCCATTATTCAATGACCTTCTCATGCTGGCCGTCCCGTAGTTTTCCTGCCCCTCTTCTGTAGTACTGCTGTCTCACAAACTCTTCGCTCTCGTTCGTCCCCTGGAACTCCCCGACTTTTCCCGCTTCTCTCACCCGTTTTCCCTCCCTTCCTCTCTCTGTCCGTTCTCTCACCCTCCATTTCTATCAATGTCTTTCTCCCTGCACACGCACTCACACACACATCCACAACCCCCCCCACACACACACATGCACACCCATACCCACACCCACACCCACACACACCCACACACCTCCCCACACACCCACATACCCACATACCCCACCCATGACATTTGCTCCCACATTGATTTCATACAAACACGCCCATGATTGGCTGCTGCATCAGGTGTGGCGTATGCATGACCTTTTCCATCTTCCAGAAGAGGCTGCACAGAAAAAACTCGAAGGCATGATTGGCTCAACCCCAAGCAAGAAGTAACTGCTAATGTTAGTGATCTCCTAGTGAGATCCTTTAATCGCTAATTCGGATTTATGAGGCGGTTCTAGCTATAGTGTGTATGCATCTCTGTTTAGATTGTTATAGGGTGGCACCACCGTGCATCTAGACCAGGTGGTTTGATTGATAAGTTCAGTCCAATCTATCCTGTTCTACTCTAAAGTTCATGAAATTACTGCAAGTGCAGAACTATCTGTATTTAACAAAGTAGCTTGCAACTTTTTGGGCCTGAGTCATCTCCAACATTCTGGCCTGAACACTTCTTGCACATGATTGGCACGCATCGACGTGATGTAATGATTGCACGCAGTGCACTGCAACGAGCCCCTCTCATGAATACGTACCGTGGCATGTCATGGTGGCCGGCTAGCTTGACAGGTAGGTGTATGAGTGCATTGTCTTCTTCAAGTTGTGCAGGAGTGTTTGCGCCTCTTCAAGAGATAGGTTTCCTTCTGCTACAGCTTCCTCAGCTTTGTTGCGAAGATCCTCCATCATGTCGTCGGCGTCATGCTGCACACACAGTCAAATAATGTGTTGGATCTCATGCTTGTTGGATTTTGAAATTCTGATGGATATAACTACCACAGCTTCAGGAAACAAACCTGAACTGTACGAAGCACTTGGTCGGTGGTCTGGCCCGGAACCACATGTTCTATGCTGTAGCCGCCTCTGTGGAAAATCAACTTCCCAATTGGCTTGGACTGCACGCCATTGCAAGCCTTATTGGAGGATTTTGGTCTTGCACGAACATAAACCACATTGGTGGTCCCAAATAGGTTGTGGGAGCTTCCCATCACCTCCTGCGCCGTACACGGAGGGGGTGTATGGAATATGTGAAGACATGGGATAAATAGATGGAATTCAGACAAGACCAACAGAATGCTGACAGTGAATAGGGACAGAAGGTGTATCAAGCTGATATAAAAGGGGTTGGCACAGGAAGGCTAAAAGTACCTGATAAGTTCCTGCAAGGAATAGCCCAAGATAATACGGTCGGTCTTCCTCCAGCTCATGCACCGCAATAACTTTCCCAGTTGCATTGGGGTAACCAGGAAAGTGGTCAATCTTGCCATCACTGTCACAGGTCAGATCAGCAAGTGTGGCCTGAACTGCAGGCTCCTCATCCAGTCGGTGGATGGGCATGATGGGGAAGACCTGGCTGATAGCCCACGAGTCAGGGACAGAGCGGAAGACTGAGAGATTCACATGGTAAATTGCTGCAAATGATCGGCGAAGAGTCTCCGCATCATCTGCCATCTCGCCAGTTTCTCGAGCAAAACGAAGAACCTCATGGCAGATGACCTACTTCAGACAGGAGAAACAACGCAAGAGGGATAGCAGGAGCAAGAGAGGGAGAAATGAGAAGTTGGGAGATACTTGATCACCATCTGAAACTCATTAGTTTAGACAACGATAGCATCAACAGAAGAATCACCTGGTATAGAGAGTCTGCCTGTGCCCTCTGCTCAAGAGTTAGACATCCCAGCTTAAACAAAGCAGTTGCCTCCGCCTTGAACTGCTTGGCGTCATGATAGGCCTCCTGAAAATTGGTCTCATCCATTGTCTCGAGAACCTCGTGGAATGTGCGTAGAAGATAAGTCCCTGCTCCATTCTCCAGCCTTCCATGCCTGGCCTTCCTGGGCTTCGGCTTGTCCCCCCCTGTGAATTGCTCGGGAGGCACGACTTGGTCTGCTGAATCTGGACCAAGCATCTGAAAGTTCTGAAGGGCGTGGGACTCGTTGAAGATGTTTGCGCTGAGGACGTCAAACACAAGGACTGACTGGTGAGAGGCCAAAGCCCTGCCACTCTCAGTCAAGATTATTGGTTGTTTGACTCCTTTCAGCAAGCAGGCGTCAACAACTGCAGCCACCACATCGTTGGCATAGTTCTGGAGATAGAGGAAACCAATGCAGATCAGACATGGACAAGGCAAAAAAAAAACACGTTGCAGCACATAGATGGCATACCTGCATAGTGTAATTCGTTGAGGCAACAGACGAGCTTCTTGAACCGTCATAATCAATACCTAGACCACCGCCAACATCAATAAATCCCTGCATAATGCCCTCACACGATCAGCACAGCGGGGATATATAAACATGCTGAAACTTTGACGCACACGTGTAACAACGGCCCACCATTTTTGCACCCATCAAAGCAAGTTCACAGTAAAGATGACTGCCTTCCCGCATGGCTTCCTTGATCAGCGAAATTGATGGTATTTGTGAACCAATGTGAAAGTGAAGAAGTTGTAGGCAGTCCAGCATTTCATGCTGCAAAGAAACAAACAAACATGTTATACCATTCATATGCAACACAAATATGGCTTAAAAAATAGGGCCAACATGATCACCGCCTGTATACCTCTCTGAGAATTTTAACAACCCTCACAATCTCGTTGACGCTCAGTCCAAACTTCGCACGGTCGCCAGAAGTTTCACCCCAGTGGCCATCATGCCGTGTGCTTAGCTTGGCCCTGACTCCAATAAGAGGCCGTGCATCCAACCGCTTGCTTGCTTCCAGGACCAGAGGAAGTTCTTGCATCTGTTGGGTCGTCATTAAGAAAACCAATATTTGATCGGGAGCAGGATGCAGCAAACTAACGGTAATGGAAGAATGAAACGCTAGTAACCTGTTCAAGAACAATAACCGAATTGAGTCCAAGCTTCCTTGCAACAAGCGCATTCTCGATGTATTCTTGATCCTGCCATAGCCAAAGGTGAGCACAACACGGATCCAATGAACTTCATCAATGTTGATACCGCAGGATCAATGGACCGAGCACAACAAGGCACAGACAACACACACCACGTTACCTTGTAACCATTGCAGACTAGGATTGCACCATCGTTGTCCTTGAGCTGTGACATCGCAATCAATAACTCTGGCTTTGAACCAGCCTCCAAGCCAAACTTGATTGGTCGGCCATATTCCACGATATCCTCAAGCAGGCGGCGATCCTGATTGCACTTCACTGGAAAAACGCCTTGAAATGCTCCCTGAAGCACGTGTCGACGCACTTGTTAATGCTAAGCACCACAATCATCGCTGGCGAGCTCGACCTCACAAGTATTTCCGGAATCTAAAGATCAATAGCTTACCTCACAGCCGAACCGCGCGATGGCCGCATCGAAACAGTTCTGAAGCTCTTGCATACGATTTTGGATAATATCGGGAAACCGAATAACCATTGGTAGCTGGACATTTCTGCGCTTGAGAGAGTCCACCAGCTCAAAAAGGTCAATGGTTTCCGCACCTGCGAGTCACAACCGCGAAATTCGTGAAGAAGGTGCGAAAACAGCACCCATTTCTTGCATGCACCAGATTTTACCGTCATCTGATGCGTCCGGTGAAACAACGACATGACCCTTCTCATTCACGGCAAAGTATGATGCTCCCCAGCCTTCGACCTTATAAAACGCGGCGGAATCTTCTGTGGACCATGATCGTTGCGTTTGAGTGGCAGCCTGATTTGAAGCTCGCACGACAATCGATTTCAAAACTAGGGGACGACACGCAACGGAAACCTTTGAGACACCACGATGACAGGTCGTTCCAACGCGACTCTGCGAGTCGACTGGATAGACACTGCGAGAAAGACGAGGGGTTGAGTGGATGCCAGCAGCCATAGATAGGCCTGTGGTGGGTTTGGGTTGTGAAGTTGCAACCCACTCGACATCAACAACATCGACTGGGCCAGCAAAGCATTCAACACGGCAAACCTGCTTGGTGCAAGGTCAACGGTTTCCCAAGAGATCGGAGAATGATTACCGTGTTACCCCGGATATAAGCTCACGGGCACTTGATAATGAATCACGTTAATTTAGGGGGTGTGCTTCAAATATCTTAGAAGTTATTAGCGCAAGCGCTTTTTTAATGAGAAATTCTTGACATGGATCTTTCAACACCCGATTGCAAATCTTGTCTTCAAAAAATAAATCAAGTCGTTATATGAGGATTATATCACAGAAAACATCGTGCAAGTTGAGAAGGAATTATTTTCTCTTAACAAGCATGCTTCCTAACAGGCCCCTAGATTCGTTTTGGACCAGGCTGATCGATCAGCGCTGGTATGGAAAAAAACGCTGACAGTCAGCGTTACCTAGGGAAACAAGGCTCGACGATGAATGTCGTAAGGGTTGCGTAGAATATGAATACCGTACTCAAGATACGCAACAAAGATGTATATTTTTTTTTCCAAATCCACTTACGTTTATCTGTACCTTTCTCCCACCCTCTTCAGTCGTTTTGTATACGTAGTGCATTTCGTCTCTATCTACACCGAATGCCCAATCATGTGGGATTTTGACTGAAGAATATAAGCATGTACTTCGTGGTTACTTACGGTGTAGAGAAATGATTTAGGACTAATATGGGGTATGTGGGTTTCGTTTTTTCACTTTCGCCACGCTTTGTTGAGCTGACGCAAAATGCTGATGCGTTTTAGTGTATCAGCTGAGTCAGCTGAATTTCACGTGCTCGTACACGCTGGAACGTAACGCGCTGAAGCTGGCGGTGGTTCTAGGTATTGTTGCTCCAAAGCGCATGTTTCTTGCTCAACGTTTCTTGCTCCCTCGATGCCCACTATCGCGAGGAGGTCGAACACCATTCAAGCAACAGAATCCGTTTCTTGTTTCAGTCATCTCGTTCTTGCTTCTCTATTCTTGAATCTTATCAAAGCTTCTCGTTTCTACCAAGATTGTTCAAACTTTGGCAGAGCAGTACTAGGTTCAGTTTCGTTCTTTGGTAAAGACCTTCAACAATAGTCTCCTCTACCGTGCCTCATCAATTGCTCCGGTAGGTGCTACTAGCGCTGGCGGGGCGTTTGGCGCCATCAAGGCTGGCGCCTTGAGGCAGGCGCCTTGGCGCCATTTTCGCTGGCGCCTTGGCGCCATTTCGCTGGCGCCTTGGCGCCCTTTTCGCTGGCGCCTTGGCGCCCTTTAGCTGGCGCCTTTGCGCATTATTCGCTGGCGCCTTGGCGC